CTCAAATTCGCTGCCGTTAAATCGTCGTTTTCGCCGTCAGACTAAAAATTTTTGCATACTGCCAAGTTTGAAAATAAGAAAACATTGCTTTTGTGACTCTTTTTCCATTTTATGTATTAAAAAAATTTGTTTATACTATTATTTCATACAATATCCTTTAATTGCTTTGAGTAGTATACATTTATATAGGCACATTTAAAATTAAATGAACAGATGTTTATTTTAAATTTGATGTATAGATTAAGATAACGTTGATGATCGTACCAGCTTTACTGTCCGGACAAGGATCAAGGTTGCAGGGTTGTCTATGATTGGGTTTCATTTCTATTGGACATCCAGTTGCTGGACCTTGCGAGGTGATATTGATACATTTCACGTGTCGGATTTGAACCCCTCCACCACACGTTGTGGAACACTGAAAAATATTGTTCATTAATAAATTAAAATTATAAAACAATTTCTATAAAGAATCACAATATTTATTTGATATTTGACAGATAGAATTGAAATAATTTGAACATTAATTAATGTTTCCAATCTGAGATAAATATTTTTCAAACGCAATTAATTTTAAAGTCAGAACAAATATATCGATGAGTGTCGTGTGACTCCTTAGCCACATGACACACATCGAGCCGGTACCCCATTTATTTATCCGGTAATGACGCATCAACCCGTCTCCCTACTTATCTAACTGAGCTGAAACATCGTATCACAGTCACTTTGAAAGGATTAGATTTAAATATCTTAAAATGCGTATGGGTGGGAAAAGATTAGCGGGTCGATGTGTATCGTATTGCTAAGAAATTACACATAGTATATCCATGACTATTTCTAACAAAACTTAAAATAATCTCAAGCAATTCTATTGCAGGTAGCATATAATATTTTACAATGAAATAGTATATTTCTTTATGAACCACTTATGAAGCACTATGCCTGTGTTTAGACTGAATTAAATCTGACATACGCGCGTCTCAAGAAAAATTAGATACATGAAAATAATTTACAGAATACGATTGACGAGATTCCGCTTGTAGTGTTTATATTTTCGAGAAAGGTGATATGAAACTTAGTTAAAAGCTGAAAATAACAGTAATCTTTCCAGTCAAATTACCACTGAGCGGTCTATGTATAAATTTGACGCCTTAAGCCGTTGTCACATCGAGTGGTATATTTTGGGAGCTTACTGGAGCTGTTTTATCAACTGCATATTTGTGTTATAAAAAATATATTCTTTCTCTGAAATCACTGATTTTATATACTGTTAATTAAAACATACAAAGTTCATGTTATAAAACTGTAGTCACAAAATATAAAAAAATCACACCTGGCTCCATGGTCCATCTACCCAATCAATACAAGGTCGCAATATGCAAGTCGCCTTCTCTTCAGGTCTCGTGTTTGGATTGCAGTGACTGCTTATGGGACACGTGACATCTCTGTGCATTTCTCCTTCATTGCATTTTGAAGAACACTGAAAAAAAGGATAGATAGGAATCTATATAGATAAACAACTTAAACTTCACCTGAAATGTTGAGGGGAGCCGTATGTTCCATCACATCTGATGTTAAATTATGTTCAATTTTAATTTATGTTTTCTCAAAAAAATTCGACAAGAATTTTAAATATGTATATTAAGAGCAGTAAACACGAAATACCTTACATAAAAAGATATTTTCACTTCCAAATCTTTAACTTCGTACTGTCCCTTTTTTTATTTCTAAGGCCCACCTGTGTTAACATTTCGTCAATTCAGGTATTTACAGGGCAGATTTGTTGGTCACTTTTTAAGGGGCACCATATTAGGCGGGCCAACGTTGCTCCTATAATAAGAACAGATAGTACAGAGATTAAAAGAACATCCATGCCTCGACCGGGATTCGAACCCCAAACCTTCCTGATGCAAGGCCAGTACCTTTACCCCTACACAGTCCGGTCGGCTTGTCATCACTTATATAGATATATTTAGAAACTTGCCGATTTTCGAAAGGAAGACTTATGTGTTAACCTCTTATGGAAATCAGCAAGATTCTATTTTTGAGTGTTGTATTTCTTTACAGTGTGTTTTCCTACCTCGCTCCACTCAGAAATAATCCAATCTAGACACGGTTCTGTGTTGCATGGCTCTACAGTGATAGGTCTTCGGTAGGAGTCACATAATTCTTCCACAACAACGTGTTTAGATACTGTATCCAGGCACACTGCATCCCTTTTTCGGAGTCCTCCATCACAGCGACTGGAACACTGGAAGAAAAAACAATAAATATTTTTCTCTCAAGAGTTCCTGTTTACATTTTGTAAAAAAAAAAATTCAATCGTGCTTAAGTAAGAAAAATTCAGATCAGTAATCTAAAGAAAAATAATTGATTGCTACTGATAATAAACAATATTTGTTTTTATTGTTTTAGGTTTCAGAAGATTTGCATAGCGTAAAGACTAAAAAAAAAAAATACAAAAATGCCCGATTGTTATTTAGGCATTCTCTTAACTTATTTGTTTTCTCCCCAGTGAAATATCATTTGGTGACCTTAAAAGAGAAATAAAACAAAAAACATTATCATCGATTCAGAAAAGAAAATCCTCATTAATTATAATATGTTCGTAATAAGTTTTTCCTATTATATACACATTTATACGGTTTTTCCCATGCCCCATATTTCTTCCAGAAAATATCAATTATAAGATTCTGAACCATTCATAATATCCCATATGTATTATAGGGGTTGGAAAAAATTATGGAAACCCTATGAACCTACTAATTCTATGTCAAAAGTATTATTTGAAAGTATTTATGAACAAATGCTTTTTTCAATTTTAGTGGTATTGATTGAAAAGGAAAAAAGCTTATAACTTGTTATATCATTTTGGTTGAGCAGTATTTTGCATGGGAAAAACAAAAGCCATTTCTTACAGCTTTAAACTTGATCTTTCAAATTCTGCCATCCTGCAGTGGACTGATCGTTAAGACAC